GGTTAGCAGCAGATAGGGGTAGCAGCAGGCAGCATTAGCACTGATAAAGTTAGCAGCAGATAGGGTTAGCAGCAGGTAGCACTGGCAGCAGGTAGCATTAGCACTGATATGGTTAGCAGCAGATAGGGGTAGCAGCAGGCAGCATTAGCACTGATAAAGTTAGCAGCAGATAGGGTTAGCAGCAGGTAGCACTGGCAGCAGGTAGCATTAGCAGGGGGTAGCGTTAGCAGTGGGTAGCGTTAGCAGTAGGTAGCTTTAGCAGTGGGTAGCGTCAGCAGGGGGTAGCATTAGCAGTAGGTAGCTTTAGCAGTGGGTAGTGTTAGCAGTAGGTAGCGTTAGCAGTGGGTAGTGTTAGCAGTAGGTAGCTTTAGCAGTGGGTATTGTTAGCAGTAGGTAGCATCAGCAGTTGATAGCATTAGCAGTGGGTAGTGTTAGCAGTAGGCAGCATCAGCAAGGATAGCATTAGCAGTGGGTAGTGTTAGCAGTAGGTAGCATTAGCAGTGGGTAGCGTTAGCAGTAGGTAGGTTTAGCAGTCGGTAGCGTCAGCAGTGGGTAGCGTCAGCAGTGGGTAGCTTTAGCAGTGGGTAGTGTTAGCAGTAGGTAGCGTCAGCAGTGGATAGCATTAGCAGTGGGTAGTGTTAGCAGTAGGTAGCGTCAGCAGTGGGTAGCGTCAGCAGTGGGTAGCTTTAGCAGTGGGTAGTGTTAGCAGTAGGTAGCGTTAGCAGTAAGTAGGTTTAGCAGTAGGTAGGTTTAGCAGTCGGTAGCGTCAGCAGTGGGTAGCATTAGCAGTGGGTAGTGTTAGCAGTGGGTAGCGTCAGCAGTAGGTAGCATTAGCAGTAGGTAGCTTTAGCAGTAGGTAGCGTCAGCAGTAGGTAGCATTAGCAGTAGGTAGCATTAGCAGTAGGCAGTGTTAGCAGTGGGTAGTGTTAGCAGTAGGTAGCGTCAGCAGTGGGTAGCATTAGCAGTGGGTAGCATCAGCAGTAGGTAGCATCAGCAGTAGGTAGCGTCAGCAGTAGGTAGCTTTAGCAGTAGGTAGCGTCAGCAGTAGGTAGCATTAGCAGTAGGTAGCATTAGCAGTAGGTAGCATCAGCAGTGGGTAGCATTAGCAGTGGGTAGCATCAGCAGTAGGTAGTGTTAGCAGTGGGTAGCTTTAGCAGTAGGTAGCGTCAGCAGTGGGTAGTGTTAGCAGTGGGTAGCTTTAGCAGTGGGTAGCGTCAGCAGTAGGTAGTGTTAGCAGTGGGTAGCTTTAGCAGTAGGTAGCGTCAGCAGTAGGTAGCGTCAGCAGTAGGTAGCATTAGCAGTAGGTAGCATCAGCAGTGGGTAGCTTTAGCAGTAGGTAGCATCAGCAGTAGGTAGCGTCAGCAGTAGGTTGCTTTAGCAGTTGGTAGCGTCAGCAGTAGGTAGCGTCAGCAGTAGGTAGCTTTAGCAGTAGGTAGCATCAGCAGTAGGTGGCGTCAGCAGTAGGTAGCGTCAGCAGTAGGTAGCGTCAGCAGTAGGTAGC